ATGTAGAATGTTTATGTGGAGGGTTGTGTTCGAAATGCTAATAAGTTCAATAATGAACGCTTGTGCCGAAAAGTTTGCCTTCTGCAGAAAAATGCACCCGCAGACAAATTTTAAATGGCATTGTAAGACTGTATGATATTTTGATCAGATGTTCATACAAATTCGGCATTTTTATAAGAATTAACTGCGACAAAATTAAATCTGTTCAAATATATAGTGTTCCATAATTTATAGACGTCATTAGATGTAAAAGCTCCGCGAAACTTAGTTTTAATTGGATGGATGCAAACTATGTGTTATTTTCAAGTTACAACATTGTAAATAATGCAAATGACATTTGTATCGGGATGCAAGAAAACATGTTATTCAAAAATATAATAATACAAAATGTATAACATCGTTGCAATATTATAGTATTATTAAAATATTATTGATATTATTGAAATATTAAACTTATATATATATTTTAAGATGAGTGTATGGTTTAGATTATCATTATTGCAATTACTTATTGCGAGCATCGTGATATTTGCAAAAAGCAACCTTTGAAAGCCTTACCATATAAACTGTACCACTACAATGATGATATTCGTAATTTATCAGTCACGTTATTAGCAGACAATGCGCAGGCTCTATAGTTATAGAAAGAAAAATAGGCGAAGGATCGATCGCGATCCTGCTTGCTGTTGCTTTTAGACGTCTTTGAGTGACAGACGTCTCATGACCTCGCGATTTACTTAGGCATGTATGATAAAGCGAGAAATTTGGTTACATCAAGCTCTATTCTTCTTAAGAAAAGACATCAACCAGAACTTGGTAAGTGACCTTTAATCAATTTTATCGTACATTAAATTTACTTTTACTGTCTAATCAGACTTAAAAAATATCAAAATTTAACCGTTTAAATAAATTTAAACGGTTCTCATTTAGCTATTATTTCAAAGACTTCTTTTATTATATGCATTTTTGTGAAAAGTAAAAGAGACGATATACGGAAAATTTAATTTTACATGTATTATATCATGGTGATAATATCAAAAGTTGCTTTGTACAGCAGTAGTTGAAGACCATGAAAAAATTATAAAAATATTTACTATGTTGTTCACATGTAAAACACAATAAAATTTTCAATCCACGGCTTCATGATCCGCGTTTACTGCCGCACATAATTATTTTTGACATAAAATTTTTTTAAAACTCTTATCCAGCAAAAATGGATAATAAATATTGCTCTTTCATAAATTTTATGCACTAACGACTTCTTTTGTCAAAATGCTGTGTTTAATATCATACACGTATCGTAACTATAACACAAAAATTTTTCACATTATGATTATCTTATGTTTTAATCGTGACGTTACCAAATAATGCCGAACGAATTTTATTCGTACGAATAATACTAATAGACACAACCACAACTTTGCGACAGTTTCTTACATAGAAAACGTATCGAAGAAATAACCGTTAATATTTTACAATGTTATTCACATTTCCTCTACAAAGCTGTATTTCATTTTCTTGGTATATCTATGCATGTAATAAATAATAAACAGTGCTGGTTTTACAATTTAAAGTTATTATAAAAAACAAATAAATCATGTTATCTGTTGAAACAATTTATAAATTCGTGTGCATAAAACAGATTGTATTTTATGATTCACTTGTTTAAATCTTTTTTTATAAATGATGTTATAATCAAAATTAAATTTATGTAATTTCAGATTAGTACGTATTTCTTGATAATAAAATTTTTAGAGAAGCATATATTATATTGATTAAGACAATACACGAAAGGATGGATTTCAAAATAAGCTTATTATTCATGTTTGTTACCTTCAGCATGTTTAGCACGGTATACATGCGTCCATCAAAAAGAGAGGAATCCCGTTCACGTAAGGCACTAGAATTAAAGGAAACGTTATGGAAGCGTTTTATTTTTCTTATATTGTACACGATAGTATAATCTTTTATTTTATTTATTATGATACTTCTCATATAATTTAAAGAACTCAAATTGTTAATTATTATTTAATGTATATATTCAGTTATAATAAATTGTTACAAATATTAGAAATATGAAGTTGTCAGTTAAATTTTACTGGAATGATAGAATAAATATTTAACTGTGTATATAAATTAGTATTTTTTTTTCATAATGTACTGCGTGCGTTATTATTTAAGTTTTTGCAGAATGTATTTCTTTCTTACAGGACCTGCTTTTTGTGATGATTTTTATGACTTTGGTGAATGCCTCAGATGGGGAATTCCTTGCAAAATGTATGTAAGATATTGGTATAATGCATATAACAGAACATGTGATGTTTTTATATACGGTGGTATTAGAGGAAATCTAAATAATTTTGAAACGCGTAAAGCGTGTATGATTTGGTGTGATAATGATGTATAATTCTAGATGCACCTTAGAAATAAAATTGTTAAGAATTTCTCATACATTTATATGTATTTATAATACTTTAATATTGACATTAAATAGAAATACTAAATAAAAGACTCTGTGAAGTTTCTATAAAATGTTTGTAAACGTATTTTATTTTTACTATAAATGACTGTAATAAAATAAAATGTACGGATATGTACATAAAATATGTAAGAATGTTTGTATGAATAAAAAAAAGTATTGCTTAAATAATAATTTTTTTTTTTTGCTATACTAGGTATGCAATACTATATACAATAAGTTAATAATATTGTAGCGTATAATAATTTAAATAAAACTTAATCAGTGTTTATTGAAATATTATTTTGGTTTTAAAAGTATCATTTTATATAGAATTACCGTAATTGAGCTAAATTATTATCAAAATTATTGCACACTTGCAGTAGAAGTGTTGTATTCGTTTTTGATATTTAGATGTTTAACATACTCCAAATGTTTGATACGCTTTTTTAAATATGTTTGGTAAATAGAAAACATTTTTAAGTAAGAAGAATTGTAATTTTAGAATTTGCTGACTTTATTAATTATTTATGAGTAGATAAATTTTCCTATAACTTGATGTTAATTAATTGCATTTTTATGGAGTATTCAAATGTTCCGTGTCAATATGAATCAACTCAACGTGGCGTAATACATGTGGTCAGTCGTGTACCTGTAATAAGTTAGCGCTGGGAATAAAAGTAATGATGTTGAAACGTACAACAAAAAATCACTGTTCAGTTGTTCTTTCGATAACCGTAATTGCTTCAATTAAATAGTTAGTATTATAAATGCTGTTACACGAAAACAGTCACCACTGTTTACTTAACAAAAAACTATATTTACACTTATCTTCATTAAAATCTATTCTTCTAGTGAAATTGCTGCACAATTGCTGTTCTTTTACCACTGTTAAATTTTTAATTTTTTAAGTCTTTATTTATAAAAATTAAAAAAATATTGGTTATTTGTTGCGCTTGTTATACTTTATTTGATGTGTATTGTATCGATTTTACAGTTTGGTGATGCAATTTTAATTACAGCGTAGATCTTTGCAATCACTTTCAAAGGAAATATTATTATAACAATATAAAAAATAAATCTAGAATATTTGTGTAGAAGGTTGTGATGAGAATGCTAACAAATTCAATAATAAACGCTTGTGTCGAAAAATTTGCATTCTGTCAAAAAATACACCTTCAAGTAGGTTCAGTTGGAAATGTAAGACTGTATGAAATTCTAATCAAATATTCACACACACACACACACACACACACACACATTCTTTATTTTTATAAGAATTTTAGTTGTAACAAAATTAAATCCGTTGTAATATATGTATAAGAGAAAACGAACATTTCTTTCATTTTTATTTTACTCTTTTTACAATGTTTATTTTTTAATTTAACACACATTGAATACATTATATTATATACAATAATTTAATAACATCAGAACATGTTAATTAAAAACAATCAATGTTTCTTGGGATATCTATATAATATGAAAATATTGTACACCTTCTATTCATTTTCTACGTAAATTCAGCACATTTAGCGTTCCATAATTTATAGACGACATTAGATGTAAAAGATCTGCGAAACTTAGTTTTAATTGATTGGACGCAAACTATAATGTGTAATCTTTTAGTTACAAAAATATAAATAGAACAAATGACATTTGCATCGGGATGCAAAAAAACATTTTATTCAAAAATATAATAATACGAAATGTATAATATTGTTGCATTATTATATTATAATTAAAATATTATATTATTAAAAATTAAATAAACTTATATATACTTTATGATGAGTGTATGGTTCAGATTATTATTATTGCAATTATTTAGTGCGAGCATCGTGATATTTGCAATAGGCATCCTTTGAAACCCATACCATACGGTGTATCACAACGATGATATTCGTAATTTATCAGCCACGTTATTAGCTGACATGCGCAAGCTCTACGATTATAGAAAGAGGAATCGGCGAAGGATCGACTGCGATCCTGCATGCTGTTACATTTAGTCGTCTATTGGTAACAGACGTCTCCTGACCTCGCGATTTACTTAGACATGTATCGATTAGGTCAGAAATTTGGACATATCAAACTTGATTCTTCTTAAGAAAAGAAATCTACTAAAATTTGGTAAGTGACCTTCAATCAATTTTATCATACGTTAAATTTAATTTTACTATTTAATTAGACTTATTAGACGTATAAATGTTTAAAAAATTTTTGTTTTTGTATTTGTCCAATAACTTTTTTTATTATATGCATTTTTATAAAAAGTGATAGAGATGATATAGAGAGAATTTTATTTAACATGAATGACGGTGAAAATTTTATACCAAAAATAACTATGTACTCAGCAGTAGCTGCGGACCATAAGGAAATTATAAAAATTTTTATTATTTTGTTCGCATTTGAAACATAGAAAGAATTTTCAATTCGCGTCTTCATGGTCCGCGATTACTAACGTACATAATTATTTTTGACATAAAATTTTCTCCGTAATCCAATAAGATTGGATATAATATAAATAATAAATTTTGCTCTTTTACAAGTAAATCTTATGCATTAATGATTTGTTTTTCAAAGTGCTGCGTTTAATATTCATATACGCATCGTAACTATAACGCAAAAATTTTTCACACTATGATTATCTTATGTTTTAATCGTGACAGAACCAAATAATGCCGAACGTGCGAATTCCATTTGTACGAATAATACTAACAAAATACTAATAAACACAAACACAAATTTGCGGCAATTTCTTGCATAAGAAATGTATCGAAGGATTAATTGTTAATATTTAACAATGTTATTTACATTTCCTTTACAGAGTTATATTTTATTTTTTTGGTATATATATGCATGTGATAAATAATAAACATTGCTGACTTCACAATTTAAAGTTATTGTAAAGGACAGATAAATTACGTTATCTATTGAAACAACTTATAAATTCGTGTACATAAATCAGATTAGACTTTATGATTCACTTGTTTGAACATTAATCTTTTTTTATGTATAATGTTATGATCAAAATTAAATTTATGTAATTTCAGATCAATTCGTATAATAATTATTAATAATAAAATTTTCAGAGAATCATATATTATATTGATCAAACGGAACTATTCGAAATTTAATCAAAACAACACCCGAAAGGATGGGTTTCAAAATAAGCTTGTTATTCGTATTTGTCATCTACAGCATGTTGAGCATTGTATACCCACGTAATACAAATATGAAATCTCGTACATTTATTCTTGGAGATTATTATACAAGCATTATTAGAAGTAAGTGTTTTTTTTTCTTTCACATTCTACACGCACAGTAATCTTTTGTGCTATTTGCTATTATGATACTTCTCATATAATTTGGAAAACTCAAATTGTTAATTATTATTTAATGTATATATTTAGTTATAATAAATTGTTACAAATATCAGAAATATATAGTTGTCAGTTAAATTTTACTGGAATGATAGAATAAATATTAAACTGTGTATAAATTGATTTATTTTTTGTTCATAGTTTACTGCATCCGTTATGATTTAAATTTTTGCACAATGTATTTTTTTTCTTACAGGACCTGCTTTTTGTAATTATGATAATGACGTTGGTCTATGCTGCAGTGGGGATGTTTGCGAACTGCAGTTGAGATATTGGTATAATACGAAAGACAAAACATGTCAATCTTTAT